AGTCTTCAATGACGAATTTGTCATGGAAAATTATAATGAATTTGAAAAAAATCGTGCGAACAATTGAAAGCGTCAATTAAAACTATACATATTAAAAAATATACAGGTATCACTTTTTGACACACCACACTTCTGAGCAAATAGATCGAATTAAATTGAGTCGAAAAATCCTCTATTATTTTGCAATTTTTTTAATAGTTAACGAAATATTAATTTCTAAGTAATTTCTAAGATTGTCGAATAAGCGGATAAAATCGATACATAAGACAACTTTAAGATTTTAAGACAACTTTAAGACTTTGAGTCCTTAAAGTTGTTTCTTAAAGAATTCTTAAAGATAATCTTAAAGTTTTATGTGATGAGTTTAAACATTCTGCTCGGGTAATTCTGTATTGGGTAATTTAAAAAATTACAAAAATTGCAAAATAGATAGAGGACTTTTCGACTCAGTTTAATTTGCTCTACCAACAAACGGTGTGTTAAAAAGTTTAGAACATCCGTATATGTGCATATAATTTTTTCAATATTTTTCTAGTGTCTATATTATTTTTCATAGTCTTTTTGACACACCACTTCTAAGCAAATAGATCAGATGAAGGAAAAAAATCCTCTATTATTTTGCAATTTTTAAAATAGTTAACGAGATATTAATTTCTAAAGTAATTTTAAAAATTGTTTTTTTTTTTAACCCTCACGATTCTTAAGAAATGCAAAAATGAGCAAAAATGAGCAAAATATAAAATAACATATAGTAATAAAATATATAATAATAATATATATAGATAAGATAAAATAATAAATAGTTAATACAGAGATATCAAAACATATATTCTAATTTCTTTTTAGCTGCCGTCGTTTTGCCTGAAAGTCGATTTAAAGGAACGCCCAATGTGTTCGAAAGTCCAATAAGCAATTTTGGTCGTCTCTACCGTTGTTGGATCGAGCCTTACAGCTAGGAATATCTCGAGGAGCGTATCGAGGAGTGCCCTCGTGAACCGCGCTGCACGCGTCTATTTCTTACAGCCACTTCCAAATGTCATGATGAAAAAATTCTCGTGACACGAGATAACGATGTCAAAATCGATAGAATATTATTAAAACGTTTCGTCCGTTACGAACGAAGTCGTTAATCGTGCGCCGATTAAATTCCAATAGAGAGATATTTTTATTTACAAGGATTCTAATAAAATCTTTCTCTCGCGCATTGAGAAATATCGTAAATACGGAAACGCAAGATATACTCCGGACGAAATGGCGTACGACGATGTTATTCTTCGTATGGGCGAATTCGGTCGCTATCAGCGTAGGATTTATCTTCTACTCTGTCTTCCAGCAATATCGTGCGCCTTTCACAAGCTAGCTGGCGTATTTCTCGGAGCCAAAATGGATTCAAGGTAACAGTTCGAGTAAACGTGACGATAATTACATGATAGATTACGAGGAATTTAAAACGGTAAAACGAGAAACTCCTTTACCTCCAGGTGTTTACTTCCACACGAGAACGCGGAGAACGTCACGTTTCATCTAAGCCAGGATGTATTGAACGCGAGCTATCCATGGGACTACGAACTCCGAGGATGGTCCCAGTGCATGAGGCGTGACATTATCGGCCTCGCGAATGGCACGATTATTGGAACTGCTATTGGTAACGGCACCGAAGAAGGAGGCATCAGTAGTTGCAAGCAGTATGTGTACGACAGAAGCGTGTACAAAAGTACAACCACTTCCGAGGTATGGAATAATTATTTAGTCGTAGTTTTCGCGAATTAAAATCTTGTTATCACTCGTGCGCGTTTTTCTCGAATTCAATACAATTCTTGTACGAATGAGATACGAATAGAAATCAGACGGATAGAAATTGAATTTAAAGAATACCTATTAAACAAATGATAGATAATGTTTTTTTTTTGCAGTGGAACTTGGTCTGTGACAAGGCGTGGCTGAGAGCGACGGGGGACTCGTTGTTCATGGTAGGAGTCATGATTGGCTCGATGATATTCGGCGGTTTGTCTGATAAATATGGTCGTAGACCAATTTTCTTCCTGTCTTTAGTCATACAGCTGGCTGGCGGTATACTAGTCGCTGTCGCGCCCGAGTTTATTTCCTACGTAATCTTCAGGCTAATTGTTGGCTCAACCACCAGTGGGGTGTTCTTAGTAGCTTATGTCATAGGTAAATTTACTGAATATGATTACCAATATCATAAGAGTTAATTATTGAATTTTTTTACCAATATCATTTGATTTATTATTTACAATTTAGCGTTTTGTCGAATAGGAGCTTTTGAGTATCTGTTTTTAAAATTACGCGAGCGAAAAGAGATTACATATAAATGTAATTATTTATCTCTTCCAGCTTTGGAGATGGTCGGACCGAAAAAGCGGCTAATAGCCAGTGTCGGTTGCCAATTATTTTTTACTACCGGATATATACTCACCGCTGGCTTCGCGTATTTTATTACCGACTGGAGAATGCTGCAAGTAGCTATCACTGTACCAAGTATCGCGTTTCTACTTTATTGGTGGTACGACATAGAATAGATGTATTCCAAGTAACATATAATTCTGGAGCCGGCGTTGCTATTTACAAAGTGATCTGATTCACGGTAGGTTTATTCCCGAGTCCGCTCGATGGCTTCTAACGAAAGGCCGACTCCAAGAAGCGAAGGATTTGCTGCAACGTGCTTCTTTGGAAAATGGTGTAGAGATGCCGAGCGAGGCTTTAGATATGCTTCTTAATAATAACAGTGAGGATAGTATGCCCGATACGAAAAAGCCTTCGCTCTTCGATCTATTCCGTTATCCAAACTTAAGGCGAAAGAGCATTCTTCTGTTTTTTAATTGGTACGATTGCTTTGTTAATTATTTCATATATTTTGTTTTTTATAAGTCTATTTTTTTTTATTTCTACACTAGAATTCTCTCACTTTCGCGAAATATCTAACATATACTTATCTTATTTTAAGTTCCAAAAGTATGTACATACTAGTTTAACCACAAAAAACAGACCTTTTGTTTGATTTGTTTCTGTGCTAATTTTGATTTTTTTATTCATATAGGCTCGTTAACAGTGGCACATACTATGGATTGTCTTGGCACGCGTCTAATCTTGGTGGTAACGACTACGTCAATTTTGTAATATCGGGGATTGTGGAAGTACCGGCATACACATTCCTGATTTTTACTCTGAATCGCTGGGGCAGAAAGATCATTATTTGTGGATGTATGATGTTATCCGGCTTAGCATTACTTGCCACGTTATTTATCCCTGCCAGTAAGTATAACTTGATAATTTGATATAAATTAACAATTTTATTTATTCATGATGATTTTATATTTTCTTATATGTATGTTCGAATAAAACTATTTTTGCTATTTGCGAAAAAAGGTTTTTTTAAGTGAATTCAGTATTTACATTAGAATAAATCTAATAGCTAATTATCTTAATAATAAAAATGTCAATAAACAAATTTGTTTGTTTTCAGATATGCCGTGGTTAATCGTTTGTTCAGCAATGATAGGAAAACTTGCTATTACCTCCTCCTATGGCGCAATTTATGTGTTTACTGCCGAACAATTTCCGACTGTCATTCGAAACGTCGGATTGGGCGCGAGTTCCACCTTTGCCCGAATTGGCGGAGTTATCGCTCCATATGTTAATCATTTGGTATGTTATTTATCACGCTATTTTTGTCAATATCCAGATATATATAGAAACTTCCGAAGTAAACATATCATGTCCGATATCACATTACGTGAAATCATTAATGTAGCATATTATCTCTAATCGCTCCAGTCTGAAGTATGGATGCCATTACCACTGGTTATATTCGGATCTTGCGCCTTATTTGGTGGACTAATGTCTCTTCTTCTTCCGGAGACTCTGAACAAAAAACTTCCTGAATCGATTCAAGATGGTGAACTTTTTGGAAAGTAAGTCTTCCCTGTTTCGTCTATTCCATGTAGTTTATTACTTCAGGTATATAAATAACATGTCCTTGGACAAATTTTTTTTAGGAAACCGAAGAAGAAGAAGAAGAAACAACAGTTGATGCTCGAACAGCTAAATGACGTAGAAATAATAAAACCGTTGAAAGCGCAAGAGAAACAGAATGGTGTACATGAAAAACAGAATGGATGACATTAATTTACGAACATCAATGTCGGTATTACATTCAAAATATGTATCCGATTCCCATCTGACCATACTTTAGATGTCTGCCACATGCAGTACACACGCCTACAGGGAACTTGGTAACGCGGTGATACCATCGAATTTCGGTCTGAACTTCTAATACCTACAATCAATTAACATCTATTCGTTCTTGGTCGAGCGATCGTATCTCAAGTGAGTTGGATTAGACGAAAAATTATTTATACAGAAACAAAAGTTAATCAACTATCAGAAGATACGTACACTTTGCGTTCTAATACTTTGAAAATAAATACGATGATGGCGTTTATTTAGATGTCACCATAATGTGTTGCGATAGTCCATAAACGATAAGAATTCTGTCGACAAACATCACTATCTCGACGTCATCTAAACGTCCTTTATAAATAATGGCTACGGATTATGTATGAAACATTGCAACTTATCAATATAAAAACTTTTGCTAATATTTTTCCTTTCTGCTTATCTCCTTTATTCCATTGACAGCTTTAAATATCGCTTATCAATAGCGATTGTCTTTGACATCAGTAATGAGCATGTCTAATAAAACGTCTTATTGTATTGATAACTCAAATTTTAAACTCGAAGAATTTAATTGTAAAAATAATAAGTGTTTTTTTTTGTACTATATATATATACGTTACATTCTATTCATCGATATGTCTGAACATATAATGTGATCTTTTTTTACTTAAAAGACCAGATAAAATCAAACATATGAACAAAATGAAACAATTTCTTTACTTAATATGCTTTATTTTATTCATTGAGATATATATATATATATATATAGACAGAAAATTGTTATCAACTATTTTACATTTTTGTGAAGCATTGGTTTAATTGCTTACATTCGTAGAAATAATTCACTTCCAGATATGACATTTCTTTTCGGGATTCATTGCACTGCCGACCGGACAATTATAAGCTTTGGCGAAGTCGTGCGAATTTGAAACAGTTCCTGTCACTCTCAATCGTCCGATGCTATGTATGTCATGTTTAGCTTTGATAGCACTCGTTGCCGGATCTTCACACCACAACTGCAAATGTTATCCCAATTTCATACATTCAAGCACATGAATATTTACTTCAAACATTATTATTTTTATAATTTAATTATTACAGTTTTGAATTTATATATCTGTGATACTTACGTTGGCAAAAGATAGGAAGAAAAGTTGATCGTTAGTGAGATTTTCCTGGCCTGGTAATACGGTATTCGGCTTTCCGCATTCCCTTTCTCTTCTTTGATATGCTCTAAACGCTGCCTCTAATCCCATTGTATCCGCGATATTCTCTCCCGCTGTTTGATTGCCATAGTTCTGCAATTTTTAACAGTGAACGCGATAAAATATTTTTAAAATGCGCGATGAGAAAAATAAGAATAATGTAAATTAGATAATAATAAAATGCAGATGATGAAATGTAGATGACGTACCTTTATTGTATTCGATATATTGTTGATGGCATAATTATTAAACTGTTCCACAAAACACTCTGCTCTTTTGCCATATGCTTCGGCCATTGCGGATAACCATTCCACAATTTTTCCTTTCTTATTATATAAATGGCCTAAAAGTTATTCTTTTAACTTTTTGTTATCTTTTTAAGTACTTAAAAAACGTTTAAAATATTTTTTGGAGTAAAATGATAAATATTGTATTATTGCATTAATTAAGCATCATAGAATATAGTTTACTAAAACTGAACGGTCTGATATAGCAAATATTTTATAACGTTACCAGAGTCATCAAATCCGTGATTAACTTCGTGACCCATGATTGTTCCAACAATACCATAATTAATAGCTCTAGAATAAAAAGTGTTTAGAAAAAAATTATAAAATATTTAGAGATTATAATCCTAAATTTATTTGTATTTATGGCTTTTTATGATTATGCGCTAAACACATTGACATTTTTAATAAAAATTGTTCACTTACTGTGGTCGACCGAAAGCAAACAATGGACTCTGAAAATCTGCTGCCGAGAGGGCTATAATCGAAAAAAAGATTAATATCAATGACAATATAAAAAATGCAAATTCATGGATTTAAATTTTACTAAAAAAAAAAAACGTGCTACGGATACAAACCTACGGAATTAAGATCCGGTGAGAAAAAGGCAGTTACCATTACAGGATTCATCATTCTATAACATGGAATATATTATATGAATTTATTTTACATATTAAAAAATAAAACCGTAATAAAATACGAATGAGTTATCTTACATTTCATCGTCTTCATCCTCCTTCAACAACTTTCGTAGCTCTTTCCACTTGCTGTATCTTTCATAGCTCAATGTATTTTCATAATACGAGTTGCCAATAATAAGCTTTAATGGAATAGAACAATTAAATCAAATAATCACTATGCAGTGATAATTAATAAGTTTTGAAAAACTTACACCTTGGTAATATCGTTTAACAATAGTGTTATTTCTATACCAATTTGGATATCCGATAAATTTCTCCATATGCACTAATTTTGCTAAAACAAAATCCTTAGTATCCTCATCTACCCAGTCTGAGTCTTTAATTTGATATTCAACTTCCTTTTGTATATCATCCATCATGTCCGATGCCTGTAGGGATAAGTAATTCAATTGATTAAACTTATAAGATAGTCAGGAGGCTTCTATAGACAAAATAAGACTTAATAATCCACACAAAGTGCTTACAGCTGTCGTGATTTCATCAGAGAAATGTTTTCTCACATACTCGTATGCTAGCATGTCGCTCATCTCTACTTCCCTCGTGCATTTGAACGATCTGTGGTAATAGTTCATCATCAGTTAATACTAGTATAATCTAAAATATTCTAAAACTATAATTTGATTTTGATTCACGCATGGAAAATGCAACATAAAAAAGGAGTTGAAAAGCAAACAATGATGTTAATAATTATATAAAAAACTTTTTTATAAGAGCTTGCACTGCACCTTGCTGAAATTCCAAGAATCTGATCATCATCATTCTTCTCTTTTTCTTCCCATGCATCATATAATTTTCTCATTTTAATCGTAGTAGTTCTTATTATTCTGCTTAAAAAGTTCCAATGTATATAATTCACTAAAACATAACTTATGTAAGCGCATTTATCAACAACATTTGCTTTTATTACCACATTTTTTTTTTAATTTACCGATTGTTCGACTCGATGTATCGTCTAGCAAAGATATAAGATTACTGAAGTAATCTAGGTTACTAATTTTTATATCCATATCACCACTCACAGGCACGTGAGCTTCGTCAAATAACTCTCCAATTTTGTACAACCAGTCAATCTATGTTGTGTTAATTATGCTCATTTAATTGGAGAAAATTACAGGTTAAAGTAATTAATCAGAAAACAACTTACTGCGCTGTTGGAAGTTTTGGGTATCTTTCTTTCATACCATTCCTGGAAGTCATTAAGCGTTAATTCCTTTTCTTTTCCTCCTCCTGTAGTAATCTGAAATATATTATTATTTGGATTTTATGAACATATTCTTATCGCTTCGTTGTCCAGTAAAGTAGTGTAACACTCACTTCAACTAGTTTTATGTGAAATTTGATCATGTCTTGGATATCTTTATACAAGTGTTCCTCTGAGATTTCAACGCCTCTTGCTTCGGCTATGGCGCGAGCTACTTTCGAGACGTAATCAGCATATAGTTTCATCATATCGTATTTGTCAGTCGTTTCTTCGGTGCTAATCTGCGAAGTCTTTAAAGTTTTCTTTACTCTTTCCTTACGTGTTTGCTTCACGTGATTCTTTTCAATCTTTCGCGTGCGTAATTTCTCGCGAACATTCGGTATCACCCGTCTTTTTATTCTGTCTTTCTTTATCTTGTGATTCTCGTGCTTCTTGGAGTTGATGTCACTCTTAATTTTTCTACTATGCTCTAATTTTTTCTTTTTCGCGAATTTACCACCTTTTTTCACCCTGATTCTTTTTTCCTTGTTTTCTTCATCGTCATCGTGTTCGCGTGTACCATTATTGTTATCGTCATCCTGTTTGTTTGTATCATTATTGTCATTCTTTTCATCATCATTTTTATCATCATTATAGTCGTCATTATCTTTATCATCATTTTCTTCATCGCTATTTTTATCGTTATTATTATCGTCATTATCTTCATTGTCACCATTATTATCATCTTCATTACCATTATTGTTAGTACTATCGTTTTTGTTATCGTCTTGGCCTTCGCTTCCAGGTTCTTGACTATCATTTTGCTCGTTGCTTTGCTTCTCCTCGTCGCTGAGATCCTCGTCGCTTCCGTCTACTTCCTCTTCGCTATCGGCTTCACCCCAGAGTTTAAACGAAGCCGGAGGTAAGTGGGGAATAGACACCTGGCAATAAGAGCTTACATTAATAAAAATCACTAGGCAATAAAAAATCAAAGCGAATGTTTTAAATACAAATGTACGCCCACATGTAATAGAAAGAATAACACAGACATAAAACGTCCTATAATGATACATAATGTAATCATAGAGATTATAAAAATATACATCGCAAGTATGCTTTTGGATTTAGAGAGCGTAATGTTAATGCATAATTATAATCTTAATTGAATGCTTGTGTTGTAATAAGTACATGCACTGTTTTCTGGGATTCGTTTAAAGTCCGATTTTCGTTCACTCGCACGTCGTGAAAAGCATTCCTTCCTATCAAGCGCACATATTGATCATCCACTTTTTGCCAGCTGTACTCCTCCTCGTTCCATTCATCAGGTTCCATTATCATCGGCCAGCCGCCGATCCTCGATAAGGTAAAAACAAGCGGTTCAAGCCCTTGACTATCCATTGCATCTGGAAGCGTTTCATAAATCATGTCGTGGAACACAATTATATTTGAAAATAGTATTTGAATTTTTAAACGGTTCAATCACTTGAAAGCTACATCCACATTTACCTGTATCCATGCAGACTGCGTACCACTTCTTCGCGAGCTTTACCGCCAAAAGATCGTCTTTCTTTGGACCTTCGTCGAAAATTTCTACGAAATATGATTTAATTTTAATATTGTTACACGCAAGTTTTCGGTTGAAATTCGGATAATTTGATATTCACCTGTTATTTTCTTTATGACATTTACTTGTGCACTTGCAAACATACTCCAGGATTTCATTCCTTTTGGAGCGGGATTATGCTCCAACCATTTTCCACAAGCGTATTCGTAGAAATCGTCGCACGGATCTACAGATTTGTCCATGCTCTCCGTTATTATCTGAGCTGGAGAAAAAAAAGGATAACGATAAATAAAGATTTAAATTAGCTGTTAAATTATAATTCCATTATAATTATAGCTGCTGCTGTTCAAAAAGTACCGATTTTTTTGCATTCTTGAGATTGACATACAGTTGGCTTATTTTCGTCGTTAGTTTCATTTCGTTCCTCAGTTTCATGTTGTGTATTGTTTAAACCAAACAACCATGCTAGACGCGAAGGATATTCCTGATTTTTCGACGATGTGACATTCTTCATTAAAAATATGCCAATGAAGGTGCTATAAAGCACAACGCAAAATGAAACAGTATAATATATCATATAAAAAATGATAAAGATGGCGCATATAATATATAAAGAATAACATTAATTGATGTCAGCATTTCAAAGTGAATTTAGAATTCGAAACAAGAGAAAAATATTATATAATATTATATAATATTTAAACTTTATTTTTTCTAAATTACAGTCAATCAAAACAGATTAATTTTTTAAAAACAAAATGAAGGATTCAATTAACTTTTAATTGACACTGTGTTTAAAAATAATTTTTATAAGTTACTTACAGAAGAATGAATCGTCTCATTGCCGCAAAATTGTTTAAGGCTGAGATAAATTTTATATAATTATGCTAGTCTAAACGTTTTCCGCCGCAATGTGAAATTATTTGTTGCTTAGCTGACTTTTATACTATTTGCGGAAGGATCCTGCAGTGCTATACCATATCGAATTGATAGAGCTGAAGGCCGGAAATATATCTTTTGCCTTTCTGATTTACATTAACAAAATAGCACCAGTGATAACCGATATCAACATTATTTCAACCTCGAAAAATATTGATTTCCAGGTTTTTTCTCCCACAATTTTTTATTAATTCAAAAAATAGTACGCGACATCTGAATAATAGATCTTTAAGAATAATGCTTCTTTTTTCAAAAATTCAGGAATGTTGAGAAAAAAATAGTGATGAATGTAAATAGTAATTGGTTCTAATAAATGTCAATAAATGTTTAAGATTAAGAGCAGACGATAAGCAAAGTGGTAGCTGACCTGCTGTTTTTTTTATGGAAAATCTATAAAAGAAACAACAATATATATTACAGTGCATTAACTCGCTGGGTCTAGCTACTATTAGTAGCGGCCCGACTTATCGAAGTTTATTTTTTACTCAAATACTATTAACTTTACAGAAAAACTGCAACAGACGAAAATCATTTATTTTCTTCTCATAGAACTCTAAAAATTTTTTTAGAATTTTTTATCAACTTTTTAGTACTGCATTTTCTTATTTTCGATAAGTCGGGCCACTTATGTCGCCAGCGAATTAATGCACTGCACTGTACAGACAATGTATGTAACCAGGCACAATGGGTGACGACATAATTTTAATTCAGAAATAGGTTAACTAAGAATCTGATATATCGTTACATATAATAATTTTATTGATCTAATTACATAATAAAATTAAACATAGACATTTTGATCGTGATTTTTTATTTTTATCGGTACAAATTATAGAAAATTACATAAAATACTGTTAAGTGTTAATGTTATTCATTTAAAACATTTATTGTCAATGTCGCAATTCTAATCGCTTTAAAACACATAAGTAACAATACGAAACAATTTTAATTGTTTCTTTTATAAACACAACAATCGGTCGATTCTTTAGGCTTGTTTTTTTTCCATATCTCAAGACTGAATTTCTTGGATCTTTCATCTTTTTCTTTCCAATGATATTATAAACGATTTTACATATTTTATATATGTATAATATAGGCACCTTGTTTAATAAATGCAATTGTTTATTAATTTTGCAGTTATTTATCTATTTATTATTTATCTATTGGATAAATTTAATTATAAAAGCATAATTTTTATCATGACTAACGGAAATTTTATTATCTATTTAATCAGCGTACTTACAAATTATCATTTTCAGGACGTCCGTCGTTTCACGATTATTGTATGTATTTGCATTATGCAATTTAAACGAAACGCAAAATAAGAACGAATTGTTTGCAAAATTATTGCGCAAATAAGATTATTACAACATTTTAGAATTTTTTTCACATTTACTATTGCACTCATAAGAAATGTATTGCAAACAGAGCAAACAATAATGGAAAATATAATAATAATATACATGATAAGAAAAAAGGATAAAATTAATTTTCGAAAATCGGTACAATATATTCAAAATATAGTATATTTCATTTCACTTGATTATATTTTAAACAATTATTGCTGCGTTCTGAATTGACGTTCACGTATATAAGCTTTTCTTTTTTATTATTCATTACTCATAAAAAGAAGATATAAAATTTATAGTGCGTGAGCATCAATTCCGAATACAAGCTAAATGTAGCACGATCATATGTTGTTAAAAACTTATCCTAACGCTCTTTTTCGGATTTCGATTTATATTTTTAATCTTCCGCCTGCATCGTGGGTCTTTCAAGGAACAAACAAAATTTTAACAGTAAAAGTTTTCTTTTGCAATTTGCTGTATAAAAAAAACAATATAATATTTGAGTTAAAAAACGTTTAGAATACAAAATAGAGTAAAAAAAATTTTTTTTTTAATTTTGTACAACTGATTTAATATGAGAAATTTGGTACTGGCATCAAAGAGATCCACGGTGCAGATGACGTTAGTGAAAAATAGTTTGCTAATAATTCATTTTTATCCTCTGGATAAATTTTATCCTTGAATAACGCAAATTGAATCAAATACATTCAGAAATTAGAAAAATGACCAAAAGAAACGTTTTCATATAAATGCACTTTTTATTCATTGATACATTTCGATAAATAATTTCTGCGGGATATTTCTAAGAGGTTTGGTTTGCAAGATTCTTTAGATTCACTTCCAGATATTGCACTTCTTTTCAGGATTCATCGGACTACCAATAGGGCAATTATAAGCTTTAGCGAAATCGTCCGAATTTGATACAGAACCTATAACTCTTAATCGCTCGACGCTGTGTTCATCGTTCTTAGCAAAATCTATTATTTCACTTGAGGTGTATTTATTTGCTTTACACCATAACTGTAAACATAAATGTTTCAATATAATTGAAGTATAAAATTATTTCATTCATTATTATATATCTTCATAGTTTTGAGTTAATTATATTTTACTAATGTTCGTAACACTTACAGTGGAAAAGGATAAAAAGAATAGTTGATCGTTGGTAAAATCTTCCATGCCTGGCAATGCGGCTTCCGGTATTTTGCTTTCTTTTTCTTTGCTTCGGAAAGTCTTAAATATCGCCTGTAATCCCATTGTATCTGCAATATTGTCGTCTATCGTCTGCTTACCATAATCCTAATTTCAATCAGTAAAAAAATCAGTAAATTTTTAATAAGATAGAGATAATTTAATCGATGACCGATAAATAAATGACCAACTAAAACTTTAATAAAATAAAGATATGTTAAATGTACAGTAAACAGTGTACCTCTATTTTTTTATTTGCTTTTGAATCAATAGGATAATTATTAAACTGATTTATAAAGCAATTTTCTTTTTTGTCATATGCCTCGGCCATCATCAAGAAGCAATCCAGAGGGTCACCATTTTTATCGAACATGCGTCCTAAAAATTATTTATCTATTTCTCTTTCTCATTAAATATTCAAAAAGCATTAAATAATCATTATATCATCACAATAATTATAAATATTGCAACACAAACAAAGTAAGGATAGAGTTTAATGACGGTGTTATTTTCCACCGTACCTGTATGATCGAATCCATGATTAACTTCATGCGCCATGAGGAATCCAATAATACCAAAGTTAACAGCTCTGTAGAACAATAATTGTTAAAAAACATTCTATAAAGATTTATATAATATTTATATTATTATTATTATTAAATAAAATAATTATAGTTTTTTAGTTTATAAATTTTGTTATGTATGTGGTGTTAAGTTTTAATCAAATTCATTCACTTACTGTGGTCGACCATAAGCGAACCATGGACTCTGGAAGTCCGCCGCCGTGATACCTATTGACGAAAGAATTAATTTTTATTGTTAAGTTAATAATTACGAATACAAATTTTGCATTAAATTGATCGATTAAATTAATAATTTATGAGCATGTATAGCGTATAATTATATTTCATTAAATAAGGAAACATGTTTAAGATATTTTTATACATACTTAAAGTATTTTTATAGGGTATATAAAAGGCATTTATTTCAGTTGGATCCAACTTTAGGCTGTAATAAAAATTTGTTGATTAGTTTGTTAACAGATAAAAATTATTTAATTTATAAAACATATTAAATAGTAAATTGTACTCACTTTCCATCGATTTCATCATCATTTTTCGATAACTTTCGTAAGCTCTCCAATTTGACGTATCTGTTGTATCGAAGAGCATTTTCATAGTATGATGGACCGATAACAAGCTTTAATGGAATAATGTTACGAAAGTGATAGTCGTCATGTAATAACAACTAATATTAACAATGTTTTAAAAACTTATACCTCTTTAAGATATTCTTGCATGATTGTAGTGTTTTTGTACCAATCCGGATATCCAATAGATTTATTCATATGTTTTACTTTTTCTATAAAAAAATCTTTAGTTTCATCATTTAACCAATCTGAGTCTTTAATCAGTTTCTCAACTTCTTTTTTTATATCGTTGAGCATGTCCGATGCCTATGATAAAAGTGAAGAATGAACTTACAGGCAAATGTATTAGCACAGAGACAAGATTATGAATAACAGACGAATGAAATAAAACTTACTGTTTTTACTGTTTCATCGGAGAAATATTTTCTTACAAATTCGTACGCTAGAATTTCTTTTATCTCTGCTGAATCTATGCAAATAGATGCTCTTGAGCTACATTTAATATAATTGAATTAGATTTTAAATTAGTAATAATTATTTATATTTATACAGTAAATAATCAATTATAAGGAGATATTATCTGTATAAAAATATATCAAACCGTACGAAGTTTCATTTTTGTTCTTGCTAATGTCTCTTTCCCACGCATCGTATAAGTTTTTCATTTCACTAGTGGTAGTCTTTATTATTTTGCTTATGAAGTTCCAGTGTATATAATTTACTAAAATATATTTTTTATAAGCGCATGTGTGTTAATGATGTTTTGTACTTTTATCAGAGTTGTTTTTAAAACTTACCGATCGTCCGACTCGACGTCTCGTCCAGTAAAGAGAGAAGTTCTTTAATGTAATTTGGCGAAATAATGTTTAGAATTAAATCGTCATCCACGGACTCATACGCCTCGTCAAACAACCCCTTGATTTTACTGACCCAATTAATCTATTTGTTAATATCATTCTTCAATATTGCAGTGATCATATTTATTCTACCATATTATATTATAGTATCAAAAAATCTATCATATTATATATAGTATCAAAATTTTATCATATTATATATCTAATATCAAAAATCACAAGAATAATACAAAATAAAAAAAAATCGATAATTAATTGATTAAGAAATTGTTTACCTTGCCTTTGTTTGTTTTAGGATTTTCGTTGTCATACCACTCTTGAAAATCTCTAAGTGTAATTTCCATATAATATATGGTCGAATTGAATATTGATTCCTTTGCAATCTGGAACGTTAATTATTCAGATTATTAAAAGTCTTTCTTCGATCGGTTTTTATTGCTCTGCAAAGTACAGCAGTGACACGCTCTTTACCTGGATCAGTTTCAGTTGGAATTCGATCATATCTTGGATATCTTCAGCAAGACGTTCTTCTGAAATTTTAGTACCTTTGTTTTTGGCTATAATATAAGCTACTTTTGAAATATAATTAGCGTATGATTCTAATATCTTCTTCGTTCTTTTCGAACTTTCCTGTGGTATTGTTGTATACATTATTTCCGCATTGCCTAAAATTTTTTTCGTTCTTTTTCTATGTACTTTTCTTACGTGGTTCCTTTTGCTTTTCTGGGTATGTAACTTTTTGCGACGAATAAAATGTTGTTTATTATTAACTTTTGTTGCCCATCTTTTTGTTCTCTGTCTTTTCATCTTATTGTGGCTATCATGCTTCTTAATGATCCGAGTGCCGCTCTTTTTCTGTCCAATGTGCCGTAATTTTTTACTTTTCTCATGACCGATCTTGCTGATGATTTTGTTCTTGCTTATTTCCTTCTTGATGTTTTCATCTTGTTTGTCTGTATCGTCATCATCGTCATTATTATCATTGCCACTGCCATCATCATCATTATCCTCATCGCCACTACCATTATCATCATCGTTGTCATCATCATCGTTGTCGTCATCGCCACTACCATTATTATCATCGTTGTCATCATTGTCATCGTTATCATTGTCGTCATTATCATCATTATCATCATCTTCAATTGTATTAGAATCATCTTCGCTTTCGCTTCCAGGTTGCTCATTGCTTTGCTCGTCCTCATTACTCGGGTCTTCATCACTCTTGCTATCTGGTTTGCTTTCTTTGTTCGTTTCTTCATCCTTTTCTTTGCTATCAGATTCAATCAAAGACCACAGTTTCTTTGAGCCTGGTGGTAAATGCGGTGTATCGATCTAGATACATGGGTTTAAGAAGAAAAATAATCGAAAAATAAATGATAAAAAATTGATGCAAATGTTTTAAATTTAAATTTATTGTAACATACAACAAGTAATAGTAAAAAATGTGACT